TTCGCTTTCGCCTTTGCTCTGGCTTTCGCCTTCGGATCGCTCTTGCCCGGCTCGCCCTCAGACGGCTTTGCCACAGCTTTCGCCTTTGCTGTGGGATCGCTCTCGCCCGGCTCGTCCTCAGCCGGCTTTGCCACAGCATTCGCTTTGCCCTTTGCTTTGGCTTTCGCCTTGCCCGGCTTAGCCACAGCTTTCGCTTTCGCCTTTGCTTTGGCTGTCGCTTTCGGCTTCGATTTCGCTTTGCCCTTCGGCCAACCCCTTTTTTTCGGCTCCTTTTCCCAGTCCTCCTCGACAGGTGCCTTCGCTTTGATGGCCCTGTCCTGCATCTGAAGCTCCCGGCTCGTCGCCACCTTTGAGGATTCAGGGTTTAGGGAGTTTATGGGTTTACAGCTTAAGGCTTAGGGACTAATAAAGGCGATTTTGATATCGAGGGACAAATAAAAACCTTCACCCAGAAACTGAATAGGCTCTTTACTGCTATTCTGTCTTGTTGATCTAGAACTCTAAACGAGGGTCTCTGGTGGCTCGTGTATTGAGGGCTTCGGTTTATGGCGGGGGTTTGAGCCTGGGGGTTCTAAGGCCGTATCGGGGGTAAGAGAGACCTATCCGAAAATGTACAAGTACCTGCTAGATTGTCTCACAGAAAAGCAACAACCACTTGCACCCCAAACCCATAAGCCCTTTGCCTCAAAGCCGTGGTTTACGTACCAGATCGGAAGCCTAAATCTTTAGCACTAGCCCCAAAAGACTGCACTCTACAGGAGTTTTTGATGTTATCGGGCTGTGTGAATTTTGGGAGTGTGAGGTTTAGGGTTTCGGGGACTCATAGTCTATTGGGCTTAATGCGACCCAAAGCTGAACTCCTGACCCTGTAGATTCTCTACAGTGTAGAAACCTTGACAAAGTAGGTAAGATGCCCCACCTTGCAGGCCAACAGATCGAGAGATTCTGCATCGCTGCCACTGGCGACTTCCAAAGAAACCGACTCTCGGCATAACTCTGCTTCAGGGTCATCGGAAACTTCGTCTGCGGGGGCTACTGCTGGGGCCTCCCCTGGTTCCTGGGAAACTTTGTTTGCGGGGGCAACTGCTGGGGCCTCACATGGTTCCTCGGAAAACTTCGTCTGTAGGGGCAACTGCTGGGACCTGGTATGGTTCCTCGGAAACTTCGTTTGCGGGGGCAACTGCTAGGATCTCCGATGGTTCCTCGGAAACTTTCTCTGTCGGGGCAACTGCTGGGACCTCGTGTGGTTCCTGGGAAACTTTGTCTGTCGGGGCAACTGCTGAGACCTCGTGTGGTTCCTGGGAAACTTGGCCAGTCGGGGCAACTGCTGGGAGAGCAGCTGCTGCTCTCGCTGGCGTGGCGACCGGTGCTGGGCGTGAGGCCCCGTCTTTCGAGCAATGTCCTTCCTGCTCCAAAAGGGCTAAGTCGAAGTTACTGTAAGCACCCCGGCGAACGAAATGAGTTTCACCTGCTTCAAATGCTTGAAGCTCCTGAATCAACTCGTCATTCAGGACATCTCCTTCGTCTTCGTCAGCAGCGATGGTCTGCTGGGTGTCCATGTGCTTCACACCTGGGCTGCATTGGCTTGGGTGCGAAATAGGTTTTAAGGGTTTAGGGCTTTAGGGGTTTAGGGCTTTAGAGCTTTAGAGCTGTAGGGTTTAAGGCTTTAGGATAACGGACTTTTTGGGTTTTAGAGCTTTGGGGTTCTCAGGTCTGAATGGCAATTGTTGCTCATTGCTGTCGGCAACTTCAAATCAACTGCTGCCACAGCCCTAAGCCCTAAACCCCAAAGCCTTAAAGCCCTAAAGCCCTGAAAGCCTTCAACCCTAAGCCCAAAAGCCCTGAAGCCCGAAGCCTT